CGTATAAACTGTTCTAATAACCAAAGTAAGGCCCTCTTCAAAAAAAAGTTAAGCCAGTTAGGATTGGTGAAGTGAGTTTTGTATTTATTTAGTGTTTGTATTTATATTCTTGGTTCTTTCGGTAAAGTCACGTAGAAGGGAAACAATAAGGCTAATGGTTATTCCGACTACACAATCCGCAAAGTTATTACTCCAACCATGAAGAAGGACCCTCTTGAGGAGCCTTTCAGAACCATCACTTTACCCTACATTGCGGGATCACAAAAAAGATCTCCAAAATCTTGAATAAACACAAGATCCAGGTCCGATTCAACACATTACATAAAATCCGTGATCTGGTTCCGTCTGTAAAAGATGTGATTCCAGACATACAGTACCCTGGCGTCTACAAACTAAGTTGCCTCTGTGGTAGTCGTTACATTGGAGAAACCAAACGACATGTCTCAGACCGCATTCGTGAACACAAAGCAGACCTGAAACACGGTAGGACCAACACCTCGGCCGTGGCAGATCACTGTTATAATTCAGTAGGTTCACATGACATTGACTTCTCCAAGACAGAGGTTCTTTGCAAGCCATCTGGCTACCATGAGAGATTCGTTCATGAGCCTATCCACATATACAAACACAGAGACAATTTCAACCGAGAATATGGATTCTGGCTTAGCAATCATTGGAAGGATTTGATAAACCATTTCGGGTCTTAATTGATCACGCTTAAGGTGGCTTTCAGACTGCATCCATTATTTTTCGTCTCCCCCCTCCTCTTTTCCAAACATAGATGGACTCGTCCATCTGAACAAACTCTCTCTCCGTGGTGCTAACGTTAAAAATAACCGCCACTTTTTTCAAATTTTCTTGTTGTGGTTTTCACACCTGATGATTGTTGCTTGTGTTGCAGTCGTTGTGTTGCAGTCGAAACGTCGTGAGAATTTTGTTTTATATTTTTATTATTTTATTGTTTCCCTTCTCCGTGACTTTACCGAAAGAACCAAGGATATGAATCCCTGCAGTCACGAAAGCTTTAAATCAAAATGTTTGTATTTAATTATTGTTAATGACGCGCCAAAGTTGTATTCACTCGTCCTTTTATTTGGGAAAAAACAAATCACAACGTATACACAGTACATTTAACAATGTATACGTACGAACGCAAAATATGAATTCAAACCATACTACACATGCAAAAGAAACAAGATAAACTCAAGGCTATTTAGCATGTTCTATAAGTGTAAGCATTGTGAATTGTGCAACCTGTAACTTAGTAATTGTAAAAACAGCTTATTTTTGCAGATTAAATGTTTAATGTCATACACAAGTATCTGGGGTAGGATGGACACAGATTGCTGTGTACATTGCTATATATACTTTTATACAAACAGTACATGGAGATAACATTTATTACCAGTGTGTGGTTGTGACCATGTCTGTGTTAAATGGAAGACGAGAGAGATGAGGTGTTACAAAATTAGAAAGATCCAAAATGGGAGAGAATGAAACGATCATCAAACGAGATTTAACAGGCTCCACATGTATGACAGGTCACGTCTAAGCCACTTTTTAATCACATGGCTCTGCACTACATTATATTACACAGCGTAGCATGCTCGGCCAACAGATGCTTGTATAGTTATTCTGACGTTTGTTTTAGTGCGACAATGTTTGCATGGCATGAAGGAAGAAAACACCGGCATTAACTGTAACAATGTGCGCAAGTCAAAAGATGGAATATTCAACATTATGGAACTAGTCGAGGAAGCAAGCACCTCATGAACAAAAAGTATTGCATACCTTATTTTAGTTGCAAGCTTTGAACTGTATTTCCAAGCATTAAAGTGTTTCATCTTCAGTATGTTAAATAGTTGACAACTGTACTAATGCATCCCACATAAGCACGCCAGTAAACCTCAGCATTTTATAGTTTGCTATACAAATTACTGTTCTTTTGCTGGATATTTTTCACACCTATATATTGTCAAATATACAAGTCCAAATAAACAAAAAACTAATGCCAAAATATATACACTGCGTGTATTCGTCAAGGCATGGGGGGCAGATTGCAACTCACCTAATGCGAGATTATTGAGTAGTACGTCCAAGGCTTTAAACCAAGTAACTGAAGGGTTGTCAGATCACTCCAGTCTTCTCTAAGTTGGTCACGATTCCCGTATCGAATTAGTGTTCCAAAGAACCAATGTGTTTATATCCACAACCGTTTCCTTTTTCAAACCAGTGTCGCTCTTTGTCATCATCAAAGACTCGCATCCCTGCATCGAGATCTTGCTTTCGCGAGCCTTTCCAGGGGATCGATCGTACGGAACTGCGAGTGATTTGCTCGATGTAAAAAAAAAACATTGAAGGAAATCAAATAGAAGCATTTCATCATCAGACTTGATATAAAAAAAACACTAATTATGTAATGGGTTTCAACTTAGTGGTAATGTACTTTAAACAGCAAAAACAAGACAACTATTTATAAGCAAATTCTATTTCTACAACAAAAAACTCCACATTCGGTATAGGTGTGTAAGGAAAGTGGGCCAGTTAACATTCAGGGCTTATACTGCACATACATCAGGCATGCAACGATGTTGATTTATAGTTGAAAAGATCATTATGCTCAGGATACATGCATCGAATCGCACCGTTGTAAGAGCAAAATATTTACAATTTACACAAATCATCTAATTATATGCAAATTACAAGGTACTTTAATATTAAAGGCTCTGAACCGACGTTGTCCAAAACAGCAAAGCCGCCACTGGCCAATGTAGGGAATGGGACAGTACGAATAAAACGGAACGAAGACATCACTCGTTGGATTGCTGGACAATAGTCACAATTCAATTCGACGCCGGAGGAACTGGGTGGTGAATCGTTCTGCCGATTCAACACTGCACAAAGTACCGTTTGAAATAAAATTCTAAACTTTACATTTTTCACGATAAGTCGTCTTCTCACGAGGAACACTTTTTGCAACACTAATTTGTTTTCACTCGTCAAATTTCAATAAACAAAGTAATGTGGTACCTCAAAAGTAAATGTGTGCTAATGAAATATATTACTTGCAAATTTCAATTTTATTTCCAACAACTATGCTATTTATTTTGATCAATAACTTATGTATAACCAGTTAAGAGCCCATTGAGCATTCTGAAAATATCTTTAACAGAAAATGTGGATTCAACAAGTACAACAATACACCAATCTAAAAACAAAAAAGTGTTCCAACAAGACAAACTACTATTCTTTGAGGCAAACATTACAGTGATCACTGCACACACAAAGGCAAAAATCCCCCACCGTGTAGCCTTAACAGACTGTTTGGGAAAGTGCTGTTAGCAAGCACCTATTGAGGCCGAAAGCACACGAGGGAGTGGGTGGCCAGCACCATGTCCGGCTGCCTTTGTCTCCCCAGTGGCGACGTTTACACACCGCACCCAGGTACTCATTTGAGGCTGAGTCGACCGAGGGCAGGGCCCAGGACCGGTTCAGATAATCGCTATCACAGGTGTTTGCCGTGAGCGGGAATCGAACTCAGGAATCTTGGTTCGCAGCGCAGTGTAGCGCTAACCATTGCACTATCGCTCCCCTACTGCACACACACACACAAATTACATGGCATAGTCTGCACAATTTACAAGGGGTTACGATTGTCCCGATTTTGTTAGTCGAGCACTTTTCCTTCACTTGCAACTCTTTATATATGAATTATGCTACACTTCTTTAAATATATTAATACATTATATTAATACATTTATTAATTATATGATTTACCCTACACTTTGCCATGTCCAAAATTCTTTCACTATTGAAATTGTATCACCAAATATAAATGTTTGGTAGAAATTGAATTTGATGTTCCATGGTTTTAACAAAATGCAGAAAGCTACGAGTGAATCCTAAAATTCAGCCTTGGTGGTGGTCATCACAAACTTATTGTGGATGAGTCCAAGGGATTATTTTGCAATGTGAAGTCATGTGATTGCAATATTTAGTACAGTGATTCAGGTGAAAAACCGTGGGCTCATGTTTACGTTCCATAGTCCTTGCTTAATATGGACCCAAAAAAGAGCCAAGGCATTCCCACAGCGATGATACATATTATTATTCGTCACATGTACCCATAGTTGCCTTACCAAGCCTTAGGATATTTAGAGGCTTTGGTGACTGGGGAAATTTGGCCAATTTTTTTTTATGTCTGAGTGGAAGGAAACATGATTAGTTAGAGACATCTCACACACCCAAGGTGATGACAACTCACAAAACTGCCCCACTGCCAACTGACTATCATTTATATCTGAATGGTCTTGTGCAATATGTTATTTGCATCACATCTATATACTGAGCCCGATTACTGAACAGTTTGTTCATGACTTTTGTGGAAATTCTACTGGTATATTTAGGGAAAAAAAAAATATTCTGTAGATATACCAATTTGTTTTAAGGCACTGATGTGGCTGCATTCTGTACTAAACACACCAGCCAATCATCAGCTAGCGGATGGGAACAACGGCATTCTGGCCTGGGCATCATGATGAAATGAAGCAAGCCCTGCCCACGAACAGAGCTAACCAATTGGGCTCTGGTTCATCTTGGTACGCGCCCTTACGCAAATGAACACCAGTGTTTCCACCAACCCCACAAGAAGGGAGCCCTGTGTAACGCGAGTGAGCTTACACGGTGAGCGCACACCACCCCAGTGCAGGGTAGAGAAGCGCCTTCGCTGTGGGTGAGTGTGTTGTGCAAACGATAACCGGCAAACCAGTGACCGTTTAAGGTGATTTGTTTCACGTGGTTACGTGGTCATACAAAAACATGACTTTAACAAATCGAATTAGAATCCCTTAAGGAAACGTTGTAACATCCCATCTCTGCATGTGGAAACATTGATTTGCAAAAAGAGTGCTAAAAGATGTACCGACTCCATACAGCCTACAGAAGCGTGTAAATGTATATGGGCAAAGGACTGCTTTCAAATATCACTTGTGTCTATTTTATCTGTTACATGACTAGATTTTTTTTAGCTCAATAATTGCATTACACCTTTAGTTACGACCGAAAATGCTTGCCATTTACCGTGAACATTTTTAAGAATTCACTGTTATTAAACAAACACCAAATCATACGATACAAAACGTATTTTTAGTGACAGATTAAAATGTTTATTTTGACGTTACATTCTGCCTGTGGAAAACTCAGCATGGTGGGGGCCTAACATATTACTGTGATGCATAAAATGTCACAAGAGCTTTAGTGAGGCAAGTGGAATTTAGCCTTTTCACATTTGCGTATTGACAGAGGAACAACATTGTGTGGGAAAATTTAGATGCATCGACAACAGAGCTCGGTCACTGCACCGGTTAGTACTGAAGTGACGTTAAGTGGACTGAGCAGACACCGAAGGACTAAAGGCAGATCCACAGCCCTCGCAAACACCAAGGGCGGCGGACAAACGCACCCCGTCAGCAAGACGCCTGCTCGGAAATCTGCACAGCAGAGCCCCGTTGGTAATTCCTGACGCGACGGCGTACCAGTTGTTAACGATGCACGTCGAGTGTGAAAAATGTCCGTTTCACTGCTGCTCAGAGGCCAGTGGCATTATCTTATGTTCTAAACAAATCTGGAATAAAAGTAATTGCAAGGGGATATATTATACATATCACCGTTACATTTCAACGTGTTTGCAGTTGTGGCAGGAAAGTGCTATTTACCAAAAGACTGAATGGTGAACATGCCTAATCAAAATAAGCCATTGACCCTGTTGCCCCAAAATGTATACATTTTTTTTAACATAGGACTCATGTAAGCTTACCAGTCACAGCTATGTGACCGATTAGTGAAAAGACTCGAAAACCAGACGTCCACCCCCTCCAGCATCCCGATTATTATTATTCTCAAGAGGCACTGCTGTAGCTTCTAGCTACAACATTTGCCACTAACTTCCGATAGCATCAGTGCGTCTGCGTGACTCCCTCTCTGTGTGGTGTGCGGTGTGGAGCGGGGGGGGGGGTATACAACACGGATGGGCTTCATCTCTTCTTAGGTGGTGCGGGCGCAGTGCGGGGCGGAGTCACGGGCCGGCCCGAGTTCAGCCCTCCATACTGGTACTTTGGCTTCTTTTCAGCCGGCTTCAAGATCTGGTCGAAAATAAGCAAACGGTGTTGAACAATACACTATTTAGTTAGAAACAAACAAACATGCTCCGATGATAATAATATATAGAGCATTGTCTTTGAAACTGATTAGCCTACACCAGAGACAGCCTTCTTCATGGTCTTGTCTCACCACTAGTGTGAGACCAGAGAACCCCAAAAGGCGACAGTACAGAGACAATGCAAGTATTAGTAATACATCGGAATTTTTCCACCCCCACTGCCACTGTGCAGCATATTATTACGTGCCAGGGACTCTATGAGATGAAAGAACAATAGTCTGAGTCCATAATTGGCAATAAGTAACAGCAAAGCAGTTATAAGCGACTCACAGAATTGTGCGCAGTTGCGTATACAGTACACGACTTCCCTGAAGGCAAACACCTTCAGCGAGCGCAATGCCGATCACACACAGTTCGAATTCGACCCTCGATCGATGGCTGCGGCATCGCCGCACACGTGTCGAATAAAAAGCAGGGGACAAGTCCTTACTTACTAGCAACTCCTATCATTTTTCATTGCTGGATTGTTACATCACCGGACCATGGGGGATAGGCAGTGGCTTCCATATAGCAGTGGATTGATCATGGTGATCAGGCAACTTAGCAACGTATATTTGAAGTATGGAGAGTGAGCAGATTAAAGAACCCCATTTTTTGTGATTCTTAATTTTTTGCCAAAGATTGGATTATTTGCATAATGCAACACAATTAACATATAGTATGGACGATTGTGTCGCACAACAGAATAGCATACAAATGTGACTACACTTGTGGCACTGCTCTCTATAACGTAGGAGTATTGTAAATCAAATAGAAACAATTCTAATCCACTACCTAAATACAGAAGACTCGATTATCCACGCTAATGATGGGAAGGATGGCCGCGGATAATACAAAAATATCCATTTGCCACGGATCTCTTTGACAAAGACTTAACTTTCGACCAATCGATGCACTTGCTCAGTGATAACAATTTCCTGCTCCTGCGCAGAAGACCCAGTCCACTAAGTGGATGATAGCAGAGCCCTACCAATCAGCATCAAGCTCTTGCCACTGTTGTAAAGCTATGCAACTACTGTACTGTAGAGGCGATCATGTGGATTTCAGATTAACCGGAGCACATATTTGTTCGGTTTAAGCACGTGACATGTAATAAACATATCCAAGAGTAACAATGTATAACTATTTTTAGATGATTTATTTGGGCTTAAGGGAAAATGCATGAGTTATTAATTTGTCAAAATTTCAGGTGCATGGTTAATATCCAAATCGATAACCCACCCGCAGATAATCGAGAGCCTACTGTATGTCATGACGGTGTCTGTTACAACTACTGTTTTTAAATATTTGTGACATTTGATTGCTTACATTAGGGCAAACAAATGTTTCATTGAACTGTAGACAGACCTGACATTTCATGGTTCCTAGCAAAAATAACAATCTTAGGCAATGGTCGGTCCCCATCATTTTGCTAAGCTGCCGATGGCAGACGATGATGATATTGATGAAGAAGAATGTTTCCAATTGGTACGAGCTGATGTCCCATAGGATACGATGAGACGGTGTCTCCCTCCCAATAACACCACTCTCTGTGATGTCATTGGGAGGCTCATGCATGACCTTGCGTCGCGAAATTACATCACGCACTTTGGGTGTATGCCGTGCACTGTCATTGTACTGGGCCATGAGGCCTATTTAAATAATTCTTAATTTTTTTTTGCCTAGCTTTGGCCAACCCCTTTGATATATTTTGCCCACTTGTCAACTGGGTTAGTCTCCAGCAGCGGCTTGACTTTATAGTAGAATTGTGTTCACATTGGAGGATCGTAAGGGCTCTTACGCAGTATGCAGCAAGGGTTCCGGAGCATGGGCTGTCGTGGCTGGAAGTTTATAATGTCACTTGCGCTCCTCTCAACTACAGGAATAAGTCATATATTTGTACATACAGTAGATCATCGATTATTCGGTGGCTTCGGGGTGGGAGGGGGTTCCGGATCTTAAAAAATGCCGGATAATTACTCATTATTATAATTATTTAAAATTATTTGTGCACATTACTGTGTGACATTGTTTGTAGGTGTTACTTTTATTTTGTGTTTTCAATTTTTTTTACTAGACTGTATTTACTGTACCGTACTTACCACTCCAATCTCGAAGATTCTGCATCATGGGTTGATGTATACACGTGCAGTATTTTCATTGTTTAAGTTGTATGTAGTGTATAATGTACTCTTTATAATATTTTACACTGAAATCAAGTGTAGCTACTTTGTTTGCCACGTGCACCATGCCGATCGCCGGACTGGGTTGCAGCCTTTGGAGCGCTTTTGCCAATTTCACCTGATCGGCCCTGGGACCGCCAGATAATGTTGGAAGCAGCCAGATAATCAACGATCAACTGCATTTCAAATGAGGACTTGGCGCACCAATTGCATCCTTAAACATTCATGCAAACGGGAATGCGCCACAGCAACGCAGCGAGGCACACCTGGAAGGAGCACATGAGCGTCTCGTCAACGCTCATCATGGCCCCCGCGTTGTCAAACTCCCCGCAGTAGTTGGGGGCAGAGAAGAGCGTGACCAACTGGCGCTTGGCAAAGAACTCGTAGCCATCTTCGACGACCTGCAGGCCATTGGGGGGGCGAGGGGATTGGTGAGGGAGGGTGTGAGAGGGTGAGGGGGTAACGCACACCGCCAGTCACGACTGACCACCGTGGCGGCAGACCGGCTGTCATCCATAAGGACGACTTCACCAAAACAGTTCTGTATTCTGAGCATGTTACAAATAGCATTTTGGTTATATTGATAAAAGAGGCCTTTCATCGATTATGTTAAAGTGAATCATACGAATCCTTAAGTGAGCCACGAATAACCAATTGGCCTAAACAAATAAAAATCATGGTTTTCCAAGAAGTAACCTTGAGACTCAATGGTACGTTCCGACGCTATACTTTGTGAAAGAAAGCTCAATGCTTCGTTCCCACCTAGAAGGCGAGCCATCGAACAAAGACGGTCACTGCATCGCGCGCTTTCAGATGCGCTTCTGTGGCTGTCTGAAATGCTCAGTTATTGGGAAAGCCACCGGAGCTATGCACTTTTAAATCCTCTACATTGAAAACTAATTTGTTTATAACTGTTTTTTGTGTTCAGTTTGTTGTCCTTTCCCCGCACTTCCGATTAGCATGGTTGGCTACGTACAGTGTGATAGAAGTTCAACGTACGTACATGCATACTGCAATGTGCCCTCCACTCACGAGGTCCAGTCTGTCTCCCAGTGCCAAAATTATCACCCAAACTCTCAACTATCCCTCAATCCTCATCTACCACCCGCCTGACGGCAGCATCATCAGCTTCTTCAATGAGCTTCCTTTCCAAACTTACTTTATTCTTCTCCCCCGATGTGACCTACAGCTTGGTGCTTGCAAGATATTTCAACCGTGCAAGCCCGGCTTCAACCACAATCGACGGTCGTCACGAGGAAACTTTGGCTCTTACCGCAACTTGGACTTCGGCCGGTGCAAATCTCCGATCGAGTATATCCTTGTCGGCTATTCTAATCACTTCTCTACAACCGGCCAGACCTCCCATTATCAAAACTACTGACAACTCACACAACCTTAGGAGGCATCGCATTTCCCAAATCCTTCAGCATCTATTCACCAACTGCCTCTCCATCTTATCCCCCTTCTCCCAACCCGGACGTTTGTGCCCATAAGCTCGAAGGTGATCTCAGAACAGCATTGGACAAAATTGGCACCTCTCAAACTTCGAGCCACACGCACGCATAATCACACAATTCCAACCAGCTCTCCACTGATGCCAGCCGTGCCAAGCAAATCAGGAGGCATTGGGGAATGGACTGACTGTAATCACACAGTAGGCTCACCACCAACTGGACCCATTACAGAGCATCCAGAAAGAGAGCAAACGCGCCAATTATTTGCATCGCGCACCTCCTGCACAAAAGCTTGCATTGCCAACTTCCATAGGAAGGAAGCCCTCGTGACCATTAGAAAAGCCATAAGAAGAAACCTCTCCATCCCAAGCATCAGGCTGGCCCTCCAGTCAAAATGACCCACAAGCGTCAGTGAAGCTCGCAAACTCCTTCAGCAAAAGTACTTTCATCAAAAAACTTTCCACCATCACCAAAGTTGCATCCCTCAAACTTCACCCACACGCCTCTCCTAGCCGGCCCTCTCCGAATAACACAAGTGGCTATGTACGGTGCCAACGATGTTCAACATATGTACATACATACATACGGCCGCCATCCCTCGACTCCACAGACTACGTTCCTGTCCTTCTCGCCTGTGCTACCGAAGGACGTCTCCACCCTAATCCTAGCACTTCACATGAAGTCATCTTCTCCGGGAATCTGCCCCGGTTCTCTGTTCAAAAAGTGTGCCACAGAACCCCCAACAATTATGACCATCTAACACTGGCAAAAGAATTTGCGTAGGATATAAGGGAAGTGAATTGCAAGCTATAGGGATTTCTTGTTATTACTTTCTAATGGACACTTGCTGGCTTACTTTCCCTGAACATGAACATCAACAACAATATGATGTAACAATGTTAACATTATTAACACCAATAATACAAAATATCAACACCAACAACAATTTGACACATCAACAGCAATAACCACATAGCAACAGCAATTAACAATGAGAGCATTTTTCATATTAACATCAACAATATTAATTTGAATATCAACACCATGTGTATGAATATTAGCAATACCTGGAGAACTAATTTACAACCACAACCAAAGCCAGAATATAACCACAGAAACAATTACCACCAGAACCACAACCACATTATAACCGCAAATAAAAGAACATAACCCAAACACATCCTCAGCCCCCTGCAGTTCACGGCCTAAACATCTCTTGTTGGTCGCCTTATCAAGAGCTTTGGCATCAAATACCATATCTACGCAGATCACTGTCTTCCGTTCACATACCAACGCTTCTGGAGTCAAGAGCAGAAGTGGTTCTGGGTACACAATCTCTCTTTGAATGCTTACAAATTCAAACCGTGATCAGTGCCAAACAGCGTCTCACCGCATCTACGCCTACTGGCACATTAATCACAGTCTCCCGCTATCCATTTCTCCCACCACATCAACTTCCTTGGCGCCATTCTTGGCTCCACCTCATCCTTTGACAACTACACCAACCGAATCATCACATCTTCCAACTACCACTTCAGGGCCCTCTGTCATGTATACGTCCACTCATCACCACTAAAATTGCCGATACCCTCGCCTGCAGCATAGTCGGGTCTCACCTCGCCTATCCCGTCCCTCCGATTTAGCACAGTTGGCTACGTACAATGCGAAAGAAGTTCAACATCCACAAATGCATACATTGCAACTCCGTCCTTATTCAATCTCCATCGAGCAACCTCAAGCAACTCCAATGGTTGTAAAACAATCTCGCCCCCGTGTCGTCCTCTGCACCTGTCAACCTTCACCTCCCTCCACTCCACCCCACTGGCTTCCCCACCATCACCAGAAGCAGGGTCAGCTATAAGATGTCCTGCTGCCTGTGCCACCTGACCTCTACTTTTGGTCATCATCCACCACCGTACCTCCCTTCGCAACCGGTCACCCTGCACAACAGCTCACGGCAGGACCCTCTGTGGCGGCGCAACTCACAACCTCCTCTCTCCACCGAGGACGAGAACTGTCACATTGCCAGGCGTCAATATTCAGTGGCGGCCCCCCTGCCATCCAGAATGCCATCCTGCTGCACGTTTGCAGCATACAATCTACACAGACTTTTAATGTACGTATGTACAGTAGATTATCGATTATGTTCCGGCTTCGAGGGGGGAGCCAGATTGTCAAAAACGCCAGATAATTATCATTACATCATCCCGATTTAAAATAGCTTATCTGTGCATATTGTTGGGTGACATTGTAGGTGTTGTTACATTTTTTTGTGTTTTAAATTTTTTTCTATAGGAAATTGCCATAAATAAACATACACATAGGCAAAAATAAATATCCTACTTTAAAAAGTTACTGTATTTACTGTACCGCACTTAGCACTCCAATCTCAAAGACTCTGCATGGGGTGATGTATACACGTGCAGAGTTTTCATTGTGTTAAGTTGTATGTTGTGTATAATGTACTGTATATAATATTTACCACTGAAATCAAGCGTAGTTACTTTTGTCATGCACACGGTGCCGATAGCTGAACTGGTTACGGCCTTTGGAGTTTTTTTTTTGACGGATCGGCCGGGACCGCTGGATAATCAATGATCAAGTGCATGTTGAACGTCTTTCACACCGTACATGGCCAACCGCGCTCATCGGAGGTGCGGGGGAAGGACAACAAACTAAAATCCCCACCTCTATTGCCTGGCATTCAAATGACACGGAGCTTGGCTCTGTGTCTCAAGAGTTATGATCAATTATGTCTGTGAAATACTGTGCATGTTACAAATCGCACCATGATTATGTTTATAAAAAAAGGCCTATGATTAAGAAATGCCTGTTAAAGTTAATTATAAATGAATCCTTACTTTAGTCAGGAATAACGAACTGGGCTAAACAAATAAAAATCACGGTCTTCCAAGAAATACCCTTGAGACTCAATGGTGCGCTTCAACGCTATACTTTGTAAAAGGCAGCTCGATGGCTCATCCCCATCTAGAAGGCTAGCCATCGAACAAAGATGGTCATGACATCGCACGGATTCAGATGCGCTTCTGCGCCCATCGGGGACACTTCCTTCCAATATTGGGAAGCCACTGGGAGATATGCACTTTTAAATCATCTATATTGAAAACTAATTTCTTTAGAACTAGTTTTTTCCTGGCACCTCCGATTAGCACGGTTGGCTAAATCCGGTGCGAAGTTCTAACATACATACGTAGAGGCCACGTGTGGCACAGCAGTGAAGGGGGCGAGAAGGAGGAGGAGCATTGAAGGGAGGTGGACTAGTGTGAGTGTGTGGGTGGAGGGTGTGTGGGTGGAGGGCGGGCGGGCGGGCAGATAAACAGGCAGCCGGCCGTGGGGACTCCTTCACCTGGTGCGCACGGCAGATGAGGTCCAGGTCGTGGCGGTTGAGGAACTTGCTGACGACGTCGGCGCCAAAGGTGAAGGAAACTCCACGGTCGTTCTCTCCCCAGCCCTGCACGTCCTTGTCCGGGTCCGACCACAGCAGGTCGCATAACAGCCCTTGCAACGTACACACACACACGGGCGTGCACACCGCGTTCTCTTACAGCTGGAGGCATCAAGACGTGAGTCAATATCAACCAAGGCGTGATGTCAGAAGAACATTTCCCTGCTGCACGCTTCTGAATTTTTTAGTTTTTCAACCAAATAATTCCTGCTTACTACTGTGTTTTTGAACACTTTCAAAACTGACACTGAAAGTGCTAATGCAATAGCTCTGTCCCTGTCTGCGATGGGGGCGGTTACAATAATAATTATCGTTAAGATGATCGAATATGTAAATAAGGGTTCATTGTAATGCTGTGCTACTATTAGCTTCTTGACAACTGGGCAAATTTAGCAAAGGGTTAGGACCAAATCCATCAAAAATAAATCAACAGTAATACGAAGACCGTTGTTGGAATGTGACGTGATGTCACATACAATGTATGTATATTGAACTTCTTTCGCAACCTTACGGAGCCAACCGTGCTAATCGGAGGTGTGGGGGGAAGGACAACAACGATGGAAGTCCGCTTCACGTCTAGGTGGCGCGGTGATGCGGTGTCCTCAGCGTTGCCCTCAGCGCTGCACGCGATTCACGCGAAGTAACCCTCTCCCCCTGGCCCTGCGTGGTGGCTCCGAGCCCGATTCTTTTGTTTTGCGAGGCCAACATTTCACGGATTTTGGTTGGATCTCGTCGCGGTAGTCTGAACGGAAAACCACCCGAACCATGAGGGCCACCACACTGGCTCGCCTCGAACGTGGCACTGAGACGTGGGTGGGTATTAGGTGACCCGGGTGAGAAGCTGACCTGTGTCGGGGACGTCCGTAGGTCTCATTATCCTCCGGATCTGCTCCATGGACTGCAGGTCGGGTGAGAGACCTGCAGAGACGAATGTCTTTTAACCGAAAACCCCCATTCATTTACGTAACTCAAATACAACAAACAATTGGATGCCAATGCCAAAAGCGTTTAACATATTGGGTTATATCATCTTTAAGAAGCAAACTCACTGAGAAAAGTTTCAGATTACAAATATTGTGGTCAAGATATAGCAGTCCCTCAGTTAACAGTGACATCCATTAACGGTTTTTCGGTTGACGTTTCACCTCCCGTAGGACCCCCCATGGTTTTGACTAACGTTAACATTGTTGATTCATGGTATGTTCATTTTATGCATGCTGGGCGCCAATTTTGTCCAATCTGAGTGCTCATAAGGGGAGCTTGAGCCATGCCCTCAGCCAATCAGCGATGCCGATTTATTAACGTTGAGACCTCAACTGCCTTTGCTTACATTCTGTTTTCGCAGAAATATAATTACTATATTATATTAACATTTAAATCCGTGAACAGTAGTTTTCGTGTAATGGATTAGAAACGTTAACTGAGGGACTATTGTGTCACATGGCACCAAGTGGCAAGGCAGAATACAATGGAAGGTGGGGTCCACCTGTATTAGGGAAAGCGGGTGATAGAAAATTAGAGACACCTGCAGCAAACAAGGTGTCAATCACCATTCGTGTGGCCTGCTTCCTATACATAGGGACCACCCACCCCCACCAGGGTATAGCGGAGGGTGAATGGAGGAAGACCCCAGCCTATTATGCTCTCGAACTCCAGCCAGCAGAGAACAGGAGCAGTCCCAGAAAACATACAAGCATCAAGCTTGGGCACCCGGTGGGGAGCAGGGACGGGCAGAGGAACGCAGGGAGGCAGCCTCTGATGCCACCCTACTGTGGAGAGGAGCCAGCAGGCGCCGGCTCTCTTCCTCCTCGGACGACGGTGGCAGGCCGGCGGTGGTCCACGGCAAGTGACGTCAAGCATCACCTCGAAGTCGAAGTTTCTTATGAATGTAGCCCAAATTGGGTGATAAACGCCATTTAAAGCTAAACGTGCCTTACGGGTGTGTGTGTGTGTTCAGGAATGCGTATTCTCAAGTGTGAGTGTCGGGACAAAGGGGTCGTCCTGTGGTATACTGTAAGCACACCGTGTTGTCCAGATATATGCTATGGTGTGAAAGCAGGCAGGGGGAGCTGGTGTACAAATTAAAGAAAAACCAACCCTCTTAAATCGCCTCAGTTTTGGTATCCATTTCTCTCTCCCTAAACTCCACCCACACTATACAAGGGCTGACCAAAAATATAATAGTGGCGGCAATAAAGGTGAGCCTTGAGAAGTAGGCTAGAACCAAAAGTGCCACATTGTACTTAATCAAATGTAACCAAATCTGAAAATCTGTCTGTTACTCTTTCTTCAACATGACATGATTTATGGCTGATGCACACATGAAAGTACCTGCAGCTACATGAACCACCTGAAAAATACACAGGTTTAGGAATCGCTACTTACATGGTGACAAAATTTGATCAAAATACAGTCGCAACTGCATTTGACAATAGGTGAAGTACAGTTGATCATCGATTATCCGGCACGCAATTATCCGGCTTCTAACATTATCCGGCGGACCCGGGGTATGATTATTTATGCCAATTTCACTTGGTAAACACATTTAAAACACTTAAAAACACACATAACCTAAACACGTCGTGCAAGAATGTGCAAAAATAAGCTCTTTTAAATGATTCGTTACTATCCGGCATTTTCTAAAATCCAGCACCCCCCGAAGCCACTGGATAATTATCGATGATCTGTATATTTTTTTGAAAGCTCTTGTTAAAAAAGATTCAAACCACTCGTTATAAAACAAAAACCCCAAACTCATCTCACCCCCATGGCAGCAGAAAATCTTCTCGTCCACAATGGCAGCAATTGGCAGGCAGTTGAAGCAATCTGTGAATGTCTTCCAGAGCTTGATGTTGAAGCGCCTCTTACCTGCAAGTGAAAGGGCTCGTCAACTTTCGTGTCGCTTGCACAATTAACGTTCGCATTTGATTGCGACAGCTGCCACTGGGACTGCCGTTCGAATGTATGAGATGAGATGTTATATGTAAAAAGGCACTTTGATTCTCCTAGGCATTTAAGTGCATAATAAGAGGGGGTTTTTTTCGGTTAGATCGCGTAAATATAAATGTGTCGTTAAAACCACCAACACCCGACAGCCAATTAGTAAGGTTTGTCAAGTAAATAAAAAAACGAGCCAATTAGTTACTAGTTCAGCACACCGGTTGTGTTGGAGAGTAAAACCCCCAACATTTACAATTCGAGTACGACACATTCAAGTGCCACATATATGCAAAGAACACTGTCATTATTATTAATTAATCCAGTCACGAGGACATATGTGTGACGAGGGCAATTACAAAGGAGAACAGGACACAACAGGGGACGCGTGGCTGCTTGGGTGATGGCTCACATTCGTCGTAGAAGCCGTAGATGCGGTTGATGCTGGCACATTCATGGTTGCCCCGCAGAAGGAAGAAGTTCTCGGGGTACTTGATCTTGTAGGCGAGCAGCAGGCAGATGGTTTCAAGCGACTGCTTGCCACGGTCCACGTAGTCGCCCAGGAAGAGATAGTTGCTTTCAGGTGGAAAGCCACCGTACTCGAACAGACGGAGCAGGTCCGTGTACTGCCCATGGATGTCGCCTGTGCAACCATGCGCGCAAACAAGGACAATCTCATTCATCCCATCCCAGTTTAGAATAATCAACTTTCAGGAGGAGTAATGTGTATTGAGTACCTATTCAGGATGACCACAGAATACTTCATTATGTAGCCAGCCAAAGCCGGAACCACATAATTAAGTCTTTAAAAAACTGTAACATACAACAGAAAAGAAGTGTGGTTACAAGCCAATACATTACAAACATAACTTCAGTGAAACAAGATAAAATAAAAACAAACAATGAATGCAGACACACATTTTTGAGATATCAGAAAGGTGGAAGGGACGCAATGAGATAAAAAAATACACGAGTACAGTGCTCATGAAGCCATGCTGAACTTTACTCGACAGACCACACCTCCCCCATTAAGTGACCAGAGCCGATATGCGAGCTAACAAGGTTCCTTCCAAAGGCACCCAGGGCAATTTCCAAAGGTACCAATTGTTCTATACCAGATCAACTAATCCAGTGGTAGCCAGTTTAATCGATGCTTCTGTGGCTGAGGGTGTTTTTTTGACCATATATTTTGAATGTTGTCTATGCTGTTTTGTGTTCCTGCTTATCTTGCTTTGTCGTCTTTGAGATGCTGACAAACGTTACAAATTTCTACCCCGAGATGCGAAAGGAAACTTTACTTGCAGAATCTTCCTTTGGTCTGTCAACCTTTTAATTAAAGTTACAACGTTTCGTTACCATTACATTTCATCAAAGTATTTTTGTTGTGTGTTAAATGTTCCAACTTTCATATCTGAGAAAAACTTCTACCAAAAATCTGAACGTACACAGGGAGATTGATCAATGCCCACTTGCAGTCAAGGAATGGCTCAAAACTGGTTACTCAAGTTATGCTGCTGATGAACTCGTAATGGCTACCCATTCCTAGGCAATACCCTGCTGCTGAATATATATCAAAGATAGATTCCCCCCCCACCCCCCCCAATATAGCCTTCAACAGACTGTTGGGGCAATTGTGGTTAGCGAGCACCAATGAAGGGCGGCACAGCACACGAGGGGGTGGGTGGCCAGTACTATGCCCGACCGCCTTTGTCTCCCTTGCGGCGATGTTTACACACCGTACCAGGTACTAATTTGAGGCTGAGTCTACCTAGGGGAGACCCAGGAATGGTTCAGATAATCGTCACTGGTGTTGGCCGTGAGCGCACTAACCACTGCACCATCACTCCCAAATGAAGGCCATGTGCTTCGATACATACACACGCACGACTCTCCTGCACAGAGTGAGACGGCCAAGACTTTTCCCTCCCTCTCACTGTAAAAAATGGCACGGATGGTGTCCAGTTGCAAAGTGGGACAAGTATCTATCGACTTGCCAAGTCACTTCATAAGGTTGCGTTTGTGGCAATTCTGTCACAATGTAACAACAAACCTGACAGCTATTTTTTCTGTGTAAATGTGCACCCAATTGCAAAACTGTCTTGCAAAATATAATTGTAATCTGAACATAAATCATTGATAACGTTGGTTGTTATTATTTTTTTATTTGGTCTGTTTGAATGTCAAAGAAAATGTTTAAAACTCTGGCCATTGAAATCCAAGAGTCACCGCATCATAAGCCAGCGAATGCCACCGAGGGTAAACGCGTCAGGTGCTAAATTTAGCCATTTTTATTTAACTTATATCCCAAAAAGTTTGGCCTGCGGTTGCAAGGAGAATGTGTTTTAATTGAGACAGCAAATTGAATCCAGATGCCCACCCCCACTTTGCTATGTTTTTCTGCAAACTCAGCTGACTTGTTTACACGGCCGCATGAAAGGTTGCACTGTTGGCCAGTTGCACCACGTCAAAGCACCCCTGTGAGTGTTCAGCTCCATACACTTTGGGGAAACGAGCAATGCACAGAGAATACATTATTGTGTAGAAATGTGCCACTCAATAGTTGCGCATTCATGTTCCTTGCAACGGGCAACATCGCCAACAGCCACGGGCGATCGCCGCTGGATGAATTCCCTCCCCACGTCGGCGTCGTCATAATAATTTTCCATTAGCCATCCATGGTCTTAGCGATGCCGTGGTGATCCAAGCTCGCTCCCGCACGCAAATTAATCTTGTCACTGCTCTGGTTGTCCTCTCAGGCAAGCTCTCTCTTGGCTGCCATTTCCTTACCGGTTTAGTCCATCTGCTATCATCCATGCTCGCGCAAGTCAAACAACTATTTTTTAACGGTATGGATATGTATATTTTCATGATAAGGCACTTACTAAGTATGTATGTTATTTTACGTACAAGTTTACTAATGCAGCAATAATTAAACTTTACTTTTTCGACCAGTGTTAAATTCTTTTTTCACAAGAATTAACACTACTAAACAGTAGGGGCTTTAATGAAGATAAACATTTCATTTGGGATATTCAAAGGCCGACATAAATAACTAAAAGTGGTCTCACAGGACGGGGAAGAAATGAAGATGAGTGGAGGATTGCACAGGTAAAAGGGTGAGCAGGAAGACTGCAGGAAAAAAGGGGATCCCACAAGCAATGGACTAGCAGGGATGATCCACTGGTGAGATGTTATCTGCCTCGTCTGGTACACAGGAGGTCGTGGGTTCGATCCCGATCATGACGCCTGTACATTTGGAGTTTGCGTGTCTCTCTCCCCGTGGTCACGTGGATTTTTCTCCGGGTCCTCCGGTCTTTCCCTCCACATTTAGAATCATGCGCAAGAGTATTTGGCTGCTATAAATTTCCACATGATAAGCCACTTCGTTGAGCTATCATTTGTGGCCAGGTCGCTTCTGAAGAAGAGCTAGCTCAGTGGGCCTTACCTGATAAAATTAAAAAAGGTTTATAGTTTCAATAGTTTATTCCCCACGAAAACAGGATTGCCAACTGCTACACATTATGCAATGTACGCATACACGGCCGAGATGCAGCGCGACGGTGAGGACACTCACCGCATATCTTCAGCGGGGCCTCCAGCTCCAGCAGGATGGGCTGGCTGAGGAAGATCTCGCGAGACTTGATGCACAGGCCCCTCACCTCCGCCTCCGTCATGTGCACCGTCTTCCCCGGCCGGCATCCCCGCACTGTGGGCAAGCGCCGTCAAGTCACTCGCTCAGTTTCTTAGCAAACGAACCAAAGATAAGGGACCGTGAATTTCCTTCTTCAATGGTAACTGGAGATTGAGGAATGTGCACCGACATGAATGGGGGATTGTGCAGATGTCGGTAACGAATTGGACCGACAAGATAGGATTTAAGAATGTACCATGGTGCTGATTCATCAATTCACACTGGTTCATCAGCATTCATTTAGCATTCCATGGGCAGGGGTATTGATGGTGGACTGGGCTGGCCTTTTCACACAACAGTGACTTCACCCGCATGACTGTGTGCGGCTGTAATGACACGGATTGATGTCACAGGCCAAACTCGCGAAACCACAAGGATGGCATTATAACAGAATAATGGTGAGCGGAGGCTTCTCACCTGCCTTGTTTAGTTTACAAACTGTTCCAAACCCCGAATTCGATTTAGCTGATTTTGTGAAATGAAATGTAAACTAGAAAGCTATTCCATTAAGTGAGGCACACTTCTGTTGGGGGTATTTGACTGTATAAAGAAATGGCTCCTTGGAAACACAGAAATTGGTTCACACATCAGGCACATAAGCTTACAAGACAAAGGTCCCCGTATAGCCTTTACCAGACTGTCAGGGTACGTGCTGTTAGCACCTATGAAGGTCAGCATGGCATACGAGGGTTGGTGTGGCCAGCACCAAACCCGGCTGCCTTTGTCTCCCCAATGCTTATGTTTACACACCGCACCGGTACTCATTTGAGATCGAGTCGACCTAGTAGAGGCCCAGGACCATTTCAGATAATCGTCATGGGTGTGGGCCGCGAGTGGGAATCTAACTCGGGTTGTTGGATTCATAGCGCAGCGCACTAACCACTATACTAGCCATCCCCACATGAGCTTACAACCCACCCATGCACATGCATTGTAAGCATGCCTGCGAACGGTCCGAATTAACAGAAAAACATTACTCTTATAGATATACATCAAAAATATTTTGTGAATCTTACCCAGACATTACTCGGATCTAGGAATGGGTGTTGACAAGTTACATACTAAGTGTGGCAGAGATTGGTTTGGGAGTATTGTAGTTTCCATCAAAGCATGTAAAGCATCCGCCGATGGAGGTTTTAAAATTTAAATCGGTCCCCATGTAAATGCATTAATCGACTATTTAAATAGTTAAAACCGCAAAGTAAAGCTCTCACTTTGCCATCACAAACGCCACCACAACGGTGAACATGCCACAGACGCCAGTTCGTCTCCTGTTGCCCATGACGCATTTGAGTTACGAAGCACTATTTTGCTACACCAAGTGCCCAGCCTTCCCATTACTCCTGAGCTTTGGTCATGGAAATATTTTATCTATTTATGGCCTTTAGTGTAAGGGCAAGGCGCATTTCCATTTTTAGCCAGACGACGACAGAGGAGCGTTTCAGCCGACACTCCACTGGAACCCTCTTTGGTATTTGCTAACAATCCCTTTGGTGTGCGCAGGGCACTTTTCGTTTTGCAATGCAATTATTTGAGGTCGACACGTTCTTTAAAACAAACATTTTAAAATAAAAATAGCAACAACTTAAAGTTACTATAGAGCTGATATGCACTGGTTTTCAGTTAAATGAATGAAGCCTTATGTGCTCTTATAATTTAACTAATTACATTATAGATTATACACTTAAAAAAACTGTTGCATGAAATCGAACACAAGAATGCGAAGTATCCGTTTTACATACATGCATAATGCGCTCATTGCAACACATTTTACCTGTGTCCTGAATGCGGTGTATATGATGGTAAATTAAGATTATACAGTGCAGCATTGTACACATGTTGAAAGTGTTATTATATCTTATTCATTTACCAAAGAGATAACCTATATACATTTTAAAGCTGGTGTCTGAGTGATATTAGTTTTCAAGTCTCCTCGTGCTGAAAGCTGAGGTATCCCCCACTTTCACTGGGCTGCCGGTTCTAGCTGGAGCAAATGCGTTGCGTTTTTTTTGTCCTAGCTGCGATTGATTAACGAGGTTTTAACAATGGGCTAATCGTGCATGGCACACTACCTTTGCTCAATGTCACTTTCAACTAAACACTCTAATAAGATTGCACGCATTGCCCAAATTCACCCGTGATACCATTTTCACGGAATATTGGCACAAGTTTCCTCCTTGTACATAAACTATTAAACTATTTTTATGTTACCAGGTTAAGGCCTACTAAGCTATACAGATCGTTTTCAGAAGCGACCTGGCCACAAAGGACAGTGCAACGGAGTGGGTTATCACGTGGAAATGTATAGCAGCCAAATACTCTAAACGCGTGACGAAGAGTCTAAATGTGGAGTGAAAACCGGAGGACCCGGACAAAAATCCACGCGACCACGGGGAGAACACGCGAAACTCCAAATATACAGCAGGCGTCAGGGTCGAGATCGAACCCACGATCTCCTGTATACCTGGCGAGGGAGTTAACATCTCGCGACTGTGGCGCCCTACATAAATCAAGGCCTCCCACGATTTGTGTATCAATGGACTCGAGTCTATTTAAAAAAAAAACCCAGTAACAATGGAGATATGTCACCCCAGCGTAGGAAGAAGGCCACTTCAGTCAAGGGGATTTGTTTGGTCATACTTCACCAGAGGTGTTGGTCATAACCAGGCATTTCACTCAGGTAAACGGGTTTACCAGTGCGCTGGCCATGTATAATTGAAGGTCATTAATTGTCCGGACTCGCCACAATACATTGTAACGATGGCTTGCACACACCATTGTGCAGATAAACGTTCAGTTTTATTAAAAGCGTAACGATGCACGTTTGTGCAGCCTGATCATTCTAAAATGTTAACAGTACGTTAATTTGTGAAAATATGCGGTTACACTTAGGCTTATTGGACAAACAAAAATTGTGCGTGAGCGAGAAACATTTTTACAAGTACCACGTGCGAGCTGGTGAAAAGCACGTGAGAACCAATTCATCTTCTTTGGTTCTTTCGGTAAAGTCACGTAGAATGAGAATAAAATAATAAATTGATAAAATAAAATAACAATAATATTCTCACGACGTTTCGGCCACAACACAAGCGGCCTTCATCAGGTGAAGGACAGCGCTGTCAGACAGTCTCGTCCCTTCACCTGATGAAGGCCGCTTGTGTTGTGGCCGAAACGTCGTGAGAATATTATTGTTATTTTATTTTATCAATTTATTATTTTATTCTCATTCTACGTGACTTTACCGAAAGAACCAAAGAAGATGAATCATTGCAGTCACGAAAGCTTTAAATCGAAATGAGAACCAATTCTTGAGTAGAATCACAGCTGTGAATAACTCCGTCGAAAGACGGCCAGAGCGTTGCTGAGACGCGCTATGTGATCTCCCAGGTATTCGACGTTCAGCCAGCGACCACACGAGACGCTTCCGCCTTATCGAGCTGTCAACGTTCCTTATCACGCTGCGGTTCTCGGTCAATGCTTCATCGGCAGCTGTGGCTCACGGTGGCTAGATGTTAACGCCCTCGCCTGGTATGCAGGAGGCCGTGGATTCGATCACGACCCTGACGGCCTGCTGCTGTATATTTGAGTTTGCGTGTCTCTCTCTTATCACGGTGGCTAGGAGATGTTAACTCCCTCGCCTGGTATGCAGGAGGCCGTGGGTTCGATCCCGACCCTAATGCCTGCTGGAAATTTAGAATTTGCGTCTCTCTCCCTGTAGTCGCGTGTATTTTTCTCTGGGACCTCCGGTTTTTCCCTCCACATTTAGAAACATCACCACGCGTTTAGAGTATTTGGCTGTTATAAGTGTCCACATGATGATAATCCACTTCGTTGAGGTATCATTTGTGGCAAGGTCTCTTCTGAAAAAAGAGTTATGTAGCTCAGTGGACCTTACGTGGCAAAATAAAAAAAAATAGTTTAGTTTTATAATTATACGTAAGTAGGACTATGACCTTAATTGGGCAAAATCAAATGCTTACACGAAAAGTTTGGCAAACAAAACGCATCAGAGTGGGGATAACGCAGGCAGTTAATGAATGTGGACAAGTATCAACACGATGCAATCGAATCAGGTTGATGTGCCTTTGAAACAACTGAACTTAGCATGTGACCAAACAAGTTGCACAACAGCAGTGAATGCTGCCTGCTATAACAGACGGGATTATCGACAAATGAAACGGACAAATGAAAACAAAAGTAGATTTGAAGCTTTCGTGACTGCAAGGATCCATACTCTTTGGTTCTATTCGTGACTTTACCGAATAGAACCAAAGAGTATGAAAACAAAAGTAGTTTACATGGGACGACGGTTCGATCGGGCGGGCTTTAGGGCCAGCGTATGCGAGGTGAGTTTATTGCGGCTGGGTTGTTGTAGAGGCTGGTCACCAGTGGGAATTTATAACATGCATATCTGTCCAACCCCTTATCAGTGCCTATCTTATTATAGACCAAATCAGACCTCATTGGTCACCCCGTGCGCTTAAAAATTGAAAGGTTCATCCTACAAAGTCCCTTCACAAGAGAGAAACACAAACAAATGTAACTTATGTTTGCCCGTACTGAAACGGCTGTACGCCGTATGGACGTGAGAAGTAAATTTCACTGTTACAGGAATACGGAGTAAACCGCATGGGTTGGCAGCTGTGTAGTAAGGTGCCTTGTTTACCACGCTCGAGGGTTGCCAGTTCACAGAAGAGTGGCTCGCTCGGCGCCCTCGTTTGCGAGGGGAGTTTGTGGGGAGAGGTCACGGGACGAGTTGACACGGGCAACTATTACAGGAGAGCACAAGGAGAGTTGACGGGGAGAGTTGACGTGGCTATGGGGAGATTTGACGGGGCTACGGGGAGAGTTGACGGGGAGAGTTGACGGGGCTACGGGGAGGGTTGACGGGGCTACGGGGAGAGTTGACGGGGCTACGGGGAGAGTTGACGGGGAGAGTTGACGGGGAGAGTTGACAGGGCTACGGGGAGAGTTGACAGGGCTACGGGGAGAGTTGACGGGGAGAGTTGACGGGGCTACGGGGAGAGTTGACAGGGCTACGGGGAGAGTTGACGGGGAGAGTTGACGGGGAGAGTTGACGGGGCTACGGGGAGAGTTGACGGGGCTACGGGGAGAGTTGACGGGGAGAGTTGACGAGGCTACGGGGAGAGTTGACGGGGCTACGGGGAGAGTTGACGGGGAGAGTTGACAGGGCTACGGGGAGACTTGACAGGGCTACGGGGGGAGTTGACGGGGAGAGTTGACGGGGCTACGGGGAGAGTTGACGGGGAGAGTTGACAGGGCTACGGGGAGAGTTGACAGGGCTACGGGGAGAGTTGACGGGGAGAGTTGACGGGGCTACGGGGAGAGTTGACAGGGCTACGGGGAGAGTTGACGGGGAGAGTTGACGAGGCTACGGGGAGAGTTGACGGGGCTACGGGGAGAGTTGACGGGGAGAGTTGATGGGGCTACGGGGAGAGTTGACGTGGCTACGGGGAGAGTTGACGGCGTTGAGTTCCCGGGGGGTGGGTGGCGTCGCCTGCGGAGTTCCCCGCGTCCCGTCGCTTCGCGGACAGCTGAGGCCGAGCACCGCGTCCTCTCTCGCCGCGACCTCGCTACCGTGAGCGCGCAGAGGAGTGACACGGGGAGCAGCAGCAGCAGCGAGGGAGCGACGATGATGATGAGGGGAGGATGAGGAGGAGAAGGAGAGCCACCACCGCTTCTCACCTTCCAGCAGACGCGCTATGATGCTCTCCACGTTCAGATCCCCGTCCGCCATTTCGCCGCCACCGCCGTCGCCTCGTGACGTAAACAGCAGTGACGTCATCCGCGCCCCGGCATGGGAGGGGTGAAGGGAGATGGGTGGGGGAGAGGGGAGAGGGGGTGGGGGAGAGGGGAGAGGGGGTGGGGGAGAGGGGGTGGGGGAGAGGGGAGAGGGGGTGGGAGAGAGGGAGATGGGAGAGGGGGTGGGGAGAGGGGTGGGGAGATGGGAGAGGGGGTGGGGAGAGGGGGTGGGGGAGAGGGAGATGGGAGAGGGGGTGGGGAGATGGGAGAGGGGTGGGGGAGAGGGGGTGGGGGAGAGGGGAGAGGGGGTGGGAGAGAGGGGGTGGGGGAGAGGGGTGGGGGAGAGGGGGTGGGGGAGAGGGGTGGGGGAGAGGGGGTGGGGGAGAGGGGGTGGGAGAGAGGGAGATGGGAGAGGGGGTGGGGAGAGGGAGAGGGGTGGGGAGATGGGAGAGGGGGTGGGAGAGAGGGAGATGGGAGAGGGGGTGGGGAGAGGGAGATGGGAGAGGGGGTGGGGAGATGGGAGAGGGGTGGGGGAGAGGGGGTGGGGGAGAGGGGGTGGGAGAGAGGGAGAGGGGTGGGGAGATGGGAGAGGGGGTGGGGAGAGGGAGATGGGAGAGGGGGTGGGGGAGAGGGAGATGGGAGAGGGGGTGGGGAGAGGGAGATGGGAGAGGGGGTGGGAGAGAGGGAGATGGGAGAGGGGGTGGGAGAGAGGGAGATGGGAGAGGGGGTGGGAGAGAGGGAGATGGGAGAGGGGGTGGGAGAGAGGGAGATGGGAGAGGGGGTGGGGAGAGGGAGATGGGAGAGGGGGTGGGGGAGAGGGAGATGGGAGAGGGGGTGGGGAGAGGGAGATGGGAGAGGGGGTGGGGAGAGGGAGATGGGAGAGGAGATGGGGAGAGGGAGATGGGAGAGGGGGTGGGAGAGAGGGAGGTGGGAGAGGGGGTGGGGAGATGGGAGAGGGGTGGGGGAGAGGGGGTGGGGGAGAGGGGAGAGGGGGTGGGAGAGAGGGGTGGGGAGATGGGAGAGGGGGTGGGAGAGAGGGAGATGGGAGAGGGGGTGGGGAGAGGGAGATGGGAGAGGGGGTGGGGGAGAGGGAGATGGGAGAGGGGGTGGGGAGAGGGAGATGGGAGAGGGGGTGGGAGAGAGGGAGATGGGAGAGGGGGTGGGGAGAGGGAGATGGGAGAGGGGGTGGGAGAGATGGAGATGGGAGAGGGGGTGGGGAGAGGGAGATGGGAGAGGGGGTGGGAGAGAGGGAGAGGGAGGTGGGAGAGGGGGGTGGGAGAGAGGGAGATGGGAGAGGGGGTGGGGAGAGGGAGATGGGAGAGGGGGTGGGAGAGAGGGAGATGGTAGAAGGGGTGGGGAGAGGGAGATGGGAGAGGGGGTGGGAGAGAGGGAGATGGAAGAGGGGATGGGGAGATGGGAGAGGGGGTGGGAGAGAGGGAGGTGGGAGAGGGGGTGGGGAAATGGGAGAGGGGTGGGGGAGAGGGGGTGGGGGAGAGGGGGTGGGGGAGAGGGGGTGGGGAGATGGGAGAGGGGGTGGGGAGATGGGAGAGGGGTGGGGGAGAGGGGGTGGGGGAGAGGGGAGAGGGGGTGGGAGAGAGGGAGAGGGGTGGGGAGATGGGAGAGGGGGTGGGGAGATGGGAGAGGGGTGAAGGAGAGGGGGTGGGGGAGAGGGGAGAGGGGGTGGGATAGAGGGAGAGGGGTGGGGAGATGGGAGAGGGGGTGGGAGAGAGGGAGATGGGAGAGGGGGTGGGGAGAGGGAGATGGGAGAGGGGGTGGGGGAGAGGGAGATGGGAGAGGGGGTGGGGAGAGGGAGATGGGAGAGGGGGTGGGAGAGAGGGAGATGGGAGAGGGGGTGGGGAGAGGGAGATGGGAGAGGGGGTGGGAGAGAGGGAGATGGGAGAGGGGGTGGGGAGAGGGAGATGGGAGAGGGGGTGGGAGAGAGGGAGATGGGAGAGGGGGTGGGGAGAGGGAGATGGGAGAGGGGGTGGGAGAGAGGGAGATGGGAGAGGGGGTGGGGAGAGGGAGATGGGAAAGGGGGTGGGAGAGAGGGAGAGGGAGGTGGGAGAGGGGAGAGGGGGGTGGGAGAGAGGGAGATGGGAGAGGGGGTGGGGAGAGGGAGAGGGGGTGGGGAGATGGGAGAGGGGTGGGGAGATGGGAGAGGGGTGGGGAGAGGGGGTGGGGAGAGGGGAGAGAGGGTGGGGAGATGGGGTGGGGAGAGGGAGATGGGAGAGGGGGTGGGAGAGAGGGAGATGGGAGAGGGGGTGGGGAGAGGGAGATGGGAGAGGGGGTGGGAGAGAGGGAGATGGGAGAGGGGGTGGGGAGAGGGAGATGGGAGAGGGGGTGGGAGAGAGGGAGATGGGAGAGGGGGTGGGGAGAGGGAGATGGGAGAGGGGGTGGGAGAGAGGGAGAGGGAGGTGGGAGAGGGGAGAGGGGGGTGGGAGAGAGGGAGATGGGAGAGGGGGTGGGGAGAGGGAGAGGGGGGTGGGGAGATGGGAGAGGGGTGGGGAGATGGGAGAGGGGTGGGGAGAGGGGGTGGGGAGAGGGAGAGAGGGTGGGTAGAGGGGGTGGGGAGAGGGGAGAGAGGGTGGGGAGATGGGAGAGGGGTGGGGGAGAGGGGTGGGGGAGAGGGGAGAGGGGGTGGGAGAGAGGGAGAGGGGTGGGGAGATGGGAGAGGGGGTGGGAGAGAGGGAGATGGGAGAGGGGGTGGGGAGAGGAAGATGGGAGAGGGGGTGGGAGAGAGGGAGAGGGAGGTGGGAGAGGGGAGAGGGGGGTGGGAGAGAGGGAGATGGGAGAGGGGGTGGGGAGAGGGAGAGGGGGTGGGGAGATGGGAGAGGGGTGGGGAGATGGGAGAGGGGTGGGGAGAGGGGGTGGGGAGAGGGGAGAGAGGGTGGGGAGAGGGGGTGGGGAGAGGGGAGAGAGGGTGGGGAGATGGGAGAGGGGTGGGGGAGAGGGGTGGGGGAGAGGGGAGAGGGGGTGGGAGAGAGGGAGAGGGGTGGGGAGATGGGAGAGGGGGTGGGAGAGAGGGAGATGGGAGAGGGGGTGGGGAGAGGGAGATGGGAGAGGGGGTGGGGGAGAGGGGAGAGGGGGTGGGAGAGAGGGAGAGGGGGTGGGGAGATGGGAGAGGGGTGGGGAGAGGGGGTGAGGAGAGGGGAGAGAGGGTGGGGAGATGGGAGAGGGGTGGGGAGAGGGGTGGGGGAGAGAGGAGAGGGGGTGGGAGAGAGGGAGAGGGGTGGGGAGATGGGAGAGGGGGTGGGAGAGAGGGAGATGGGAGAGGGGGTGGGAGAGAGGGAGATGGGAGAGGGGGTGGGGAGAGGGAGATGGGGTGGGAGAGAGGGAGAGGGAGGTGGGAAAGGGGAGAGGGGGTGGGAGAGAGGGAGAGGGGGTGGGGAGAGGGAGATGGGATGGGAGAGAGGGAGATGGGAGAGGAGGTGGGGGAGAGGTGGAGAGAGAAGATGTTGGGAGAAGTGGGGTGTACTGGGCGAGGGGTCGTGACCCCCCCTCTACCTGTGCTCGTGTGGTGTTTGTTGACCCAAGGTGACCTCACTGAGTCTCCGCAGTGCTTTCAAAAGGCGAGTTCTGCCAAGTTTGCGCAGTAGGGGGGCGATGTTGCTGCTGTGTGATCCTAGTTGAGTCGTTTTTTAGGTGATTCATCAGCATTGGGGATGTTTGGCCTCTGGCAGTTGCCTTGTACTATGTATGTTGAACTTCTTTTGTACCATACGTAGCCACCCGACACAGCCAATTAGTTATGTTTGTCATGTAAACAAAGCGTGCCAATTAGTTACTCGTACACGGCGGCGAAATGTTAACGACCTTGCCTAGTATACAGGAGTTTGTGGGTTCGATTCCGACGCTGACGTCTGTATATTTGGAGTTTGCATGTTCTCCACATTTAGACTCAACACGGGGTTCGAGTATCTGGTTACTATAAATGTTCATGCGATAAGCCACTTCGTTGAGCTATCATTTGTGGCCAGGTCGCTTCTAAAAAAGAACCACATAATTAAGCGGGCCTTACCTGGTAAAATCATAAAAAATTGTCTAGTATAATTCGAGTACGACGTTTCGCCGGTAGGTTACAACCAGCCTCATCAGGCGACAGCCAGAATTGTACCCCCGCGAGGCGCGTGAATCCACACAGAAAGGCGGCCAAGTCGGGATCCGAACCCTGCGGCTCCCTGCCGAGGCGCGACAACTGCTGCGCCTCCACTCTGACCCTCGGGTTGCTTGACATTGACTCCCCGTGTCACGGCCAGGTGTAATCACGGACCCAGTACACTTCGTAGGTCCGTGTTGACCTTTACCCGGGGGAAGAGCCCGTTGGCATTCACGCGTATTGCGGGGGACATCAAGATAACGGGGGACATCAAGATGCCGGTGGTCACACGGCCTTGTGGGCTGAGCAGCTGACTGCGCCACATTCAGTGACCATGCTGATGAGTCCCCAGCGCCATCACCGGTCCGCGGTTTGTCTCACTACCGCATGTTAGTCACATTTGTCTCAATTTGTTGACGGTGACTGAAGCCACGATGCTCAACAATGCGGTTCTTGAGGAACTGGTGGTTCTGCATAATGAATTGGTGGAAAGCTTTTGTACATGCAGTGCTCTTTTTTGCGTGTTGTTGAACATTTTTCGTTTTTACTTCGTGCACTAACGTTTGTGGTACGATGGGTTTTCTCGTCATTTACATAGAGTACTTCAATTATCGAGATGACTGGGTGTGGAATATTTTAATCCGTCTCCTGTGCTCATCATCTCAGTGGCCTGCCTGAGCCCATACTCAGTGATCCCAGCACCCATGCTGAGCACTCGGTCTAGCAGCTACGAATGAAACACGAAACAGACTAAACCCGCTTCCTTCATCGGTCTGTTCTTTGATTTGCAACGGATGTACCACACAGGACCCACGAATGTGACCTCTACTTCAAATCCAATCTCAAATCACTTGATGAGAGATGAAATCGACATTGACCCCGCAACTCCGATTAACGATCCCAAGAACGAGAATCGGAATGGGTGACAACCCCTTCGCTGTTGCAGCACAGAAGTTTTGGAACA